ATATATATATATATATATATATAAATATATAGAAAAATTGATGTGGGTACTCAAATGAAAGGTCTCGATGAGTGTAATGTCGGGGTGAGCTTATATCTTTAAAAATGTCAATAAGGTAATATGAGTGCACTTATATCAAGTCAAATAATCTGTCAGGCGCATAAAATATATTTCAATAACAATTATTTTGTTCAACATAGTAAATAATAACATTAAAAATAATCTTTTCTGGACGTCCGTGTGTCTGTGTTTATGGATCCGTGTATGTGGCAGGGAAATTGCTCGAAAAAATAATCCTACCGGAATAATTTCTTTTTATCATCTAAAGTAACACACTAAGGACTTTCTCAATTAATATGACCGTTCAGTTCACTGTCGTTTAATTATTATTTATAAAAAACTAAGATACCACTGTGTATTTGTATATCTATACATACATTTTATTATAGTATTTTTTTTCCTCACCTCAGAATTATTGCGCCACTAAACCATAGCAGAGTTTTCTGTTTTTTATTATTTTATTTTAATCAATTTTATTGTGGAAAATAAGATTATGAGGCGTGCACTTTTGGATTTTCCACACTTTTTATTATTATTTGTTTATTATTTATTATAAATCAATTAATATTTATTAATCTATTATTGTTTAATAAATTTTTCATAATTAATATCACAAAATTTCTTAGCCGAAAAAAAGAAGATTAATAGAATATAAATTATTACATGTCCAAATTATTAAATGGTCAGCGTCATAAAATTTGCTTCTCGTGGAATTCTAATTAAGAGCTGTACAGCAGAAGATGGTTTAAAAGGACTTAAAAAAATCTTTAAAAGTGAAATATCGCGATAAAGTGACTCTTTAATATTAAGGGATATCAAAAAAAGTCCTTTATTTTCCAATCTATAAAGTTTTGATTTTTATTTTTTCTTTTCTCGCTGTCTTTTTTTCTCTTTATTGTGCTTTTACATTGTGACTAATTATCCCTCGTTCAATTAAAATTAATTTTTACTAGCAAAGTTCTCCGATCTGGTTAAAAAAATTAACAGGTAAAAAGTATTTCACTAGATATACTAGACGATCTTTTTTCATTTATCAAACTTTTATTTCTGATAAGAGGGCAAGTTTGTGTCCTTTATGGTTATTTGTTTTCTAGGCACGTAATCCTAGAAAAATTGTTCGTTAAAAACAATTGAGTTGAGGGGCTTACTAATGAGTAAGCCCCTTCCGTACGAACGCGTATATTCATTTAAAATTTATCAGCTGAAGATAAAAATATATATAAAAAAAAACTGATAGTTAGAAGGAATAAATGTTGATAAATTATCGAGAAGTTAAATGAACTTACCCTGCACGCAACGGTTCACAAATAGCGTAATAACGCTCGAAACTAATTGCAAGTATTGTAAGTACTGATGCGTGAGCTACTGTCAGTTCTACAAAAGGCACTGCCTTACCTGTAATAAAAATAAAAATATAGAATTAATTTTTTTTATTAGTTCAATAATTGCATCAAGAGAAAAATATTTAGTTAAAAATTTTATTTTTACTTCGTGATTTTTTGATTGAATAAATTTAAGAAATTAAAACACTTTGCGGTTATCAAACGAATTTTAACAAAAAATATTGAATTTTATTTCGAGAAGTGTCTAAAACAATTTTTTTTGATAAAAATCCAATTAGAATTTACTCAAGATACTCTAAAAAATTCAAAAAAGCTAAAAAAGATAATTTAGAGCAAAATTTTGCAGTCTAATAGATCATTTTTCCAAAAAAGTGAAAAAACCTCAAATTTTTCATAGTTCCAACTTAGACCTTAAGTAACTTTTGAAGGAGCAGGTCTATCGAAATGCTGCTAATGACCTTTCTTGTACAACGTTCAATTCCCTGTAAGAATATGTTCTATTGTCACCAGTATGACAATCCATTAATGAGTTACAAGATTCTAAAATAAAAACAACAATTTTTTAATATTATTCGTAGACTGAAAAAAAAATGACTTGGTTCTCGAAAAATATTATCTTGAAAATTGAACTCTTGCTTCGAGATATTCAGCTCGAATTAATTCAATAAATTAATGAACAAAATCAAGAAAAGTACAATTCGAGGATAAGGAAGAAAAAGTTCGCCATTAAAGAATTTTATTAATTCAACCAAGCACTTTAATATTCTCAAACAAGATAACCTATACTTCGACCAACAATTTGTTTCTTCGAGAATTGAGATTGTTGGTATCGTTGGTTCAAGATATTACTGACTTTCAACAATACCAACAATCCTCGAATTTCTGCTATTTACTATGTCACCAAAAATAAGTCTCGAATGCGTTTTGGAATGAGTTTAAGGTAGTTCCAGCATGAAATCACTTTTCGACAGATTCGGCTGAAATTTTTTTTACGGGTTCAGAATAGCTTTATTTATAAATTCCTGAAATTTCATAATTTTTGACCGTTTAGATCGCGAGATATTTTAAGTCAAAGTTGGCGATTTTGAGGGTCATGTTCCATCTAAAGCATGTAAAATGTCCGGTCTCTCCAACTATTTTTTATGATATTAAAAAATTCTCTCGACAGAATTGGAAAAAAAATTAGGAGAGTGTTGAAAAATGTTTTTAGAATAAGTTAAAAAAATAAAAATAGCACTTCACCGTTTTGTTATCGAGATATAATAATTTTAAAAAATAAATTTCAATCCATTTGTAACCTGCTCACTTAACAACTTATAGTGATTTGGCAACGCCGTGCGCAACGCTCCCTGAAATAGTGTAGCATAAAAAGCGGGAAATTCAAATCTTTCACGGTTTTCAAGAGCAACGTTGCCAGATCACTGGACTAACAATATGTAATTGTATGTGTGAACGTCTGTGTGCCGAGGCTTTTAAATTTTTGTCCATAGTAAATGCTCTGACTATACTATACCACGCTGGAACTACGTTAAGTAGAAAATTTGATCTTATAAAGAGTTTAATGGTATTTTTAATCAAGAAACTTGTTCTTGACCCGAGAATACAAAACTTCTAGAAGAAAACAAAATAATTGTTAGTTATGAAGAATAATGTTTGTTCAATGTTGAATTTGAATGTATCTCACGAAGATAACATACTTTTGATCGGAAATTCCGAATTTTCCAAACCAAAAAGCCGAATATTTCACGGAAAAAAATTCTTGAATAGACAACCTATTCACTCAATCTACTTGATTAAGCTTAAAAATAAATTTAAAAATTTTTTTACCAAATATTATTATCACTGCAATGTATAATACATAAAGCTTGATGTCAATAACGTTTTCGGTATAATTTTCCAGGCAAAAGATTGAGGGAAAAAATATCATATAACATTACACACACGTTACTCATGTATACACTAACCCCAAATCGTTTGGAGGGTCTAGCAAAAGTAGCATGATAACGACATTTCAAACTCGTAACCATTTATAAATTTTATCTGCACCACCTACTATTTTTTCTTCTAACCAACAAATACACGTTCTTTAATTTTTAACCACCTGAGTGGGAGTCTTACTGTTAGCAGCCATCGTAGTCTAGGATTTTCGCTCCTCAAACAAAACAATATTTCCTGGTTGAAGGTTAAAAAGAATTGGATAGAACCGAGCACCATTCTATTCTTTACTCAGAGGAAAATAAAAGTGTGGTATACGCATTAACTGCTCGGACACGTATAGCCTAAGAGCTGCGGTAATTCGTTGCGGGGGGCACTTGAGTTCACCTACTCATTTTCACCCACCCTTATTATTATTATTATTATTATTATTATTATTTTTCTCTTTTTTCTCTTTATATATAGTGTTTCCTCCTTTTATTTTTCCTGTATACTCCCACGCGTAAGTTTTTTCAACTCTAAAATTACTTTTGTATAAATTCCGTCGTCTCTGTCAATTATCAAGTAGACGGGTTAAAAATAGAGAAATTACTATTGTAAATAATGTTTTTTTATAAATATTTGAAAAGAAAAATTTACAATTTTACTCTGCGTGGAAAATATTAATAAAGAATTAAAAATTTTTGAAAATCCAAAAGTGCACGCCTCATAATCTTATTTTCCACAATAAAATTGATTAAAATAAAATAATAAAAAACAGAAAACTCTGCTATGGTTTAGTGGCGCAATAATTCTGAGGTGAGGAAAAAAAATACTGTAATAAAATGTATGTATAGATATACAAATACACAGTGGTATCTTAGTTTTTTATAAATAATAATTAAACGACCGTGAATTGAACGGTCATATTAATTGAGAAAGTCCTTAGTGTGTTACTTTAGATGATAAAAAAAAATTATTCCGGTAGGATTATTTTTTCGAGCAATTTCCCTGCCACATACACGTCAAGAAATTACATTGAATTTTGTCTAATGATGATATATCTTTAACTATAGACTATAATTTTTTATTTCAAGTCGAAAACAAGCTAATAAAAACTCGATATTTTTATTCCTAACAATAAGACCCAAATTCTATTTAAAAAATAAGAAAAACACTTTTATAGTTAACTTTAATTACCTAAAATCGTTTAAAACTAGGCTTCTAACTCTGATAATCTCATTATAGCTTGATGGAGTGTAATTCTTATCTTTCGCCGAAGTCGTTAGTTTTTATACTTGTAACAATTAACCAATCATAGATTAATATTTTCTATCTACGTTACTTAAAAAATTAACACCTGGTAATTCACTCGATACTCCAGTGTGATTCAATCGTCAGAAAAAAAATCATGTGCGAAATTTCATTGATTATTTTTATTATTCTTGCAACGTCGGCAACTTACGTCGACAATTCTCAAGATGGGGCAGTGATTAAACAGTCAACACTCCATTTAAGTGATCTCGAAGTACAGGAGCTTATTGATTATGGTTGGATTAAATTAGTTTTTGAGGGCAGAGATAGAAATGCGATCGAAATGGGTCCTGTTGGTGTTACCAAAGCACAAGTACAAGTTAAAGGCGATGATAAAAAATACACTATTCTTGTTCGATACTATGCTAAAGGAGTTGACAACGGTTTTTTATGGTGTTATATATTGGGTCATATTAACAAAAATACTTCCATTTTTATAGATTGCTATGAAGGCTTTTGGAAGGTGAGATCATACAGTTTTATTTAAATACTATGGACAGATTGAGAAAAAAATTAACTTTTAAATCAAGAGTAAAATTCTTGAACCAAAGCAATAATTTTAAAGTCTTAAATATTGAGACGAAAAATTTTTTAATAAAGTAAAATTATTCGGATCGACTTGAAACTTTGAGATAATATTCTAGAGATGTTGTAGAATTTAATAAGACAGTAAAAAAAAAAAAAATCAAAAAGATTATAATTTCTTCAAAATTATTTACTTGATTTAAAGTAAATTTTTTTTTTCTGTGCAGAGGGTAAATTTTTTTGATCCAAAAAAATATTGAAGAAAATTTTTTACGCCAAGAAAATTTTTTTATGCTATAAAATAATTTTGATCTTTAATAAAATTATATAAGCGAATTAAATTTTTTTTTTTTAGGTAGTTTTTATTGCATAACTCCAATTACTTTTATCTGTTTCAGCATCTCACAAATCCGAATGATCAGCAACAGTATAATTTGTTTTATTATCTTTATGAAAATATGTAATGCAAGCATAAATAAAAGTCGATATTATATTTTATAAAGCAATTGAGGAAATACATAGATGAATTTTTATAATAAAATGTAAAAACTAATGCTAAAGTTTAATTTCATCAAATCTACCGGAAAATATTAATTTTTTAATTTTTTAAAGTATGTAGATAGATTAATAAGAGCCTATTTAATAAGCTTTTTTGATCTAGCGAAATATACAATGATACTGAAGTTAGCCGTCAGCTGTCAATTTTAAAAATTTTAATAACAAATCAATTAAAATAAAAAAATGTAGGGGTGTGCGAATATCGTTCGAATCGAATCGAATCGAATATTGATATTCGATTCGAAATTCGAACCGAATAATTCGAATTTTCGAATTAATCAACATTCGACGAATAATTCGAAACTTTTCGGATTATTCGTAATTTTTCGAATAATTCGAATTAATCGAATTTTTTCGAATTGTTCGTCGAATTTCGAATAATTCGAAAATTCAAATTATTCGATTCGGAACGAATAATTTGTAAGTTCGAATTATTCGCACACCCCTAATTTTAAACCCTAATCTAGTTAACTCTTGATAAGTCTTGATAGCATAGCCACGCGGACATGTAAAAATGAAAACTCTAAATTTCTTCCAAATTACTAATCTAATCAACTGTTTGGCCTAGAATACTTGTAGAGAATGTGAAAACGATTCGATTGATGCATAATAATGATTAAAAATGAACTTATCGAAAATTTTAAACCCTAGTCTATAGTTAAGTCTTGATAAGTCTTGATAGCAATAGCCACGCGGACATGTAAAAATGAAAACTCTAAATTTCTTCCAAGTTACTAATCTAATCAACTGTTTGGCCTAGAATACTTGTAGAGAATGTGAAAACGATTCAATTGGTACATAAGAATGATTAATAATGAACTTATCGACAATTTCAAATACGGGTGTGCGAATATCGTTCCAATCGAGTATTGATATTCGATTTGAAATTCGAATCGAATAATTCGAGTTTTTGAATTAATCGAAATTCGACGAATAATTCGAAAGAATTCGAATTTTTTCGAATTATTCGTAATTTTTCGAATTATTCGTCGAATTTCGAATAATTTGAAAATTCAAATTATTCGATTCGAATTTTGAATCGAATATTAATATTCGATTCGAAACGAATAATTCGTAAGTTCGAATTATTCGTACACCCCTAAAAAAATGCTTCTAAAAATTTTCACTTATAATTTTTATTAATTTTAACACGTGAAATTTTTTAATTAATTTTTTTTTTATAATAATTTAATTATTATAAAATTAAAAAAAAAGTTTTAATGTCTGTCAAATAACTTCAGTATCATAATATACAGCTGTTTAAATTTTTCGCTGTAATTAATAATTTTTTTAAATTTATAATTGCTGTAATTTGTTAACTAACCAACCAATTTAGCTCATCTTCCAACTAAACCTTGGAAATTTTCTAAAAAATAAGCACGCTAAGTTTTATGGAGATCTCTGACAAAAAATTGTGTGAGTGAGAGTATAGAGACAAGATCGGTTATATCATATACATATAAATAATACTTACGTATATAAACTTTTGAGTTAAAGGTATTTTCTGAACCAGCTCGACGAGGTGAGTATCACTTTTTCAAGTTTTCTACAAATGAAAATTTTTTTTATAACTTTTTTATTAATAAAGAAATATTATAAAAATTTTTTAATGTCAGCTAACTTAATTTATAGCATTCGAAAGCAGCCATTTTAAATTTTTAAAATAGTTACAATTATCGCCGCAAGAGCGCGCCAACTCCCAACAGTAACAGTTACGTCTTGAAATTTTCTAGTCCTGGGTCTCCATATGAAAATATTGAGACCTGTCATTGTCATTGTTATATATAAAATACACAAATAATATAAATATTTTTTTACAAAATAAAATTGTCATTATTTAATAATGACACCTTCAAATCATCTTGATAAAAATCAAACTGACAGCTCTAATTTAGACACTTCTAACAGGTTAAATAATTATTATATAAATGATTGTGTCCAGTGGATAAAAGCACGTGGTCTAGAAAAAGTATGTATATTTCATATATTTTTGTTGTTTTTTTAATAAAAAAATCTCTAAATTTTTCAGTTTTAAAAAAAAAATTGTTAAAATTTACAATTTTTAACTTGAAGATAAAATGTAATTTTTTGTTTTTTTTTTTTTAATGACAGGCGCCATTCACTTTCTGACAAAATTCACGTACGCCACAATTTAATAAAATTTATTTAAATAATTTTTTTTTTTTAACAAAATAAATTTTAATTTGTAATTTTTGATGATTCTAATATTAATTTTTATTTCTGATAATTTTTATATTTAATAAATAAATTGCAGCAATAAAAAATTAATTAAAAAAATTTCACATTTAAAAAAAAAATTAATTTTTATTTGTAAGTAGGGTAAATGCACCAGTTGTTGACCGGTCACCAATTAGTTGACCGATGTATAAAAAAGTTAATTAATTAATATTTTACAAGGGTTTATTTTTTTCTTAAAGTATTAAAATAAAACAATATGGCATTTAATCATAATAATAAAAAATTACGCAATTAATTGGGCAGTGATAATAGCTTTAAAAAAATATTCTGAGTTTGTTTACAACGCAACCAGCCATAAAGCGGTCAAAAATAACTACCGTACAATTGGAGAGTGAGTACATTTCATCATTAATTTAGTGATATTTATCGACATAATATAAAATATTATAGTTTTATTATGTTAATTAAACATCAGATTCCAACTTTTTTGAAAAAATAAAGTTAAATTATAAGTTTTAATATTATTTTAAGACCGGCCAACTATTGGATCCGTCAGAAGCCCTTCTGACCCAGTAAAAAATTCATTCGGTCATTTATTAGACCCTCTGATTTTATCACAATCCAATTAATCACCGTATATTTATAATACTAACTTCTTAAACTCAAAATTAAATCTGTCAAGTGTTTAAAGTACTTAAGTCATTCAATATTTTGTAAATATAAAAATAATCATTATAAAAAATGTATATTTA